AGTGAGTTGCGGAGACACAGGACCCAAAGGCGGAGGAGCAGGAGGAACAGGAGGCGCAGGAGGTGCAGGAGGCGAAGGAGGAGCAGGAGGCGCAGGAGGCGCAGGAGGCCGTGGTGGCTCTGGTGGTTCTGGTGGGATACGGGAGTACCACCCGTCAGCGTCTACTCTAAACGCGGGCCTTCGCGTAGGCTTTTTCTTGAACAAGAAGTGGGTGCCGCTGAATTCCGCCATGGCTGCGGCAGCCAGGCGAGAACTACGGTACCAAGAAACCGAACGAGAAACTGAGAGAGATGGAGAACAAATGAGAGATTCAAAGGGACCCCTTCTGGTTAGCGCCTCGGGGTCCTCGTCGGGGAGAGACGGGTACCCCTGGTCTGAACCCGGAGAGGAGGTTATCGCGGCACGAAGTTGCTGCGCTGGCAGGGCATTCCAGCCCCTTCTCGATGGTTCGGGTGAAATGCAGCTGCCTGCCAGCGCATGAAAGCCTGATTGGGCCGCAAGGCAACTTTCACGTCAGCGCTGGCAGGTGCGCTGCTCGTGGACGGGATTTGTGCGGTCGGGAATCGAAGCGCAGCAGTTTTCGGCGGGATTACATGCATTATCCCACGCGCACGTTACTCAATTGTGTTCGCCTTACTGCGGGCTTCGATTTGGTACATAAAAATAACAAATTCAATTTTGCCATGATATAAGCGCCGGCGCTTATGGCCGTTATTCAATTACAAGCGCCACCCCTTAAAAAAATGATTTTATTATAGGCGCATATGCGCCTATATCCGGGGTAATACGGTATTTTACGAGCCGCTTTGGCACGCTCTTACAGTGAGTAGCCAAATGCTGTTGCACACTGTAGTTACATCCTGTCATACAAAGCCGCAAAGAGGGTTTCAAGGAAGGTCTTGAGAGTCGCCTGGCGGAAGCACCTCTTGAGGTGCTGCCAGGGGGCGGCGCACAAAGTGGGCCAGGAACTCAACATTGCCATCCGTGCCTGTTATCGGTGACGTCATCACCCCCTGCAGCTCCATCCCATACTCCTCTATACCGCGCGTCACCCTTTCAAGCACCTGCAGGCATCAACATGCACAAAACAACACAGAAACACCAAGGGAAAAGAGGGCAAAGTAAAGTGGAGGAAGAGGAGCACATCAAACACTCTGGAGTCAAGACATGGCAGGCATGAAGGCGGTGTGATGAGGAGCACATGCGGAGCGCTGAGGCCGGTGCTGAGGCTGCTGCGGCAAGGGCTGGGCTGGCACGCACCTCCTGCCGCACGGCCTCGCTGCGCACGATGCCCCCTCCGCCCACCTGGCCTCGCCGCGCCTCAAACTGCGGCTTGACAAGCACTATGAGGTGTGCCCCTGGCTTCATCACACCCACCACCGCTGGCATCACCTGCCATCCCATGGGGGACAAGGCAGGCGGATGGGGTGGATGGGGGTGCATGGGCGTGAGAGGGTGGGGATGCATGGTGGCGTGGGGGGATGTGAGGATGCTGACGAGTGATGAAGGGAGTGTTGAACGATGGGGATGGGGGGATGAGCACTGAGCAGGGAGGCAAACCAGGAGCTGCATTCATGGCGGCATGGGAGAGGATGGAGACGAAAGAGCGGACGAGGGTGGTGTCGGATGGGGAAGAGAGCAGAGAGCAGAGAGCAGAGAGCAGAGAGCAGAGGGCAGAGAGCAGAGGGCAGAGAGCAGAGGGCAGAGAGCAGAGGGCAGAGAGCAGAGCACAGGGGGCGTACGAGGAGAACGGAGATGAAGGAGAGGTCGAGGGTAACCACGTCCACTTGCTCCGGCAAATCCGAGGGCGACAGGTGGCGCAGGTTGGTTCGCTCCATGACCACCACCCGTGGGTCGACTCGGATGCGCTCACTCACCTGCCATCATGCACCCCGCACAGTCAAATCACATGCACACTCGCACACCCACACACCAGCACACTCACACACCCACGAATCCACACACACATCTCATGCACACCCACATGCTCATTCCCACTCGCGCACACACGAGGAGCATGCACGAACACAAAGATGCATGAGAGGAGGGCACGGCAGAGCAGCAAATGCCAACAAGTAGAGGTGCGTGAAATCCACTCACTATCACTCCAACTGCCCACAACCGACCTGCCCACAACCGACCTCCCACAACCGACCTGCCCACAACCGACCTGCCCACAACTGACCTGCCCACAACCCACCCGCTCACGTCCCACCTGGCCGCACCCCACCTGACCGCACCCCACCTGGCCGCACCCCACCTGGCCGCACCCCACCTGGCCGCACCCCACCTGGCCGCACCCCACCTAGCCGCACCCCACCTGGCCGTACCCCACATCGACGCCGTACACGCGGGCGGCACCGTGCTGCAGCAGGCAGTCCGCGAAGCCCCCCGTGGACAGCCCCGCATCCAGCGCCACGGCTCCCCCCACCGCCATGCTGAATTGCTGCAGCGCCCCCTCCAGCTTGTACCCCGCCCTGGGGGGAAGGGACGAGAAGAAGGGGGGGTGGGGAATGGAGAGATGGGGAGGGGGGGCAGCGAGGAGAGAGGGGGTATGAGGGAGCACTTTCAAGGGAATGGAGTGCGCTGCAGTTGACTCACAAGGTGCTGGCTGCAGTTGACTCACAAGGTGCTGGCTGCAGTTGACTCACAAGGTGCTGGCTGCAGTTGACTCACAGGGTGCTGGCTGCAGTTGACTCACAAGGTGCTGGCTGCAGTTGACTCACAAGGTGCTGGCTGCAGTTGACTCACAAGGTGCTGGCTGCAGTTGACTCACAAGGTGCTGGCTGCAGTTGACTCACAAGGTGCTGGCTGCAGTTGACTCACAAGGTGCTGGCTGCAGTTGACTCACAAGGTGCTGGCTGCAGTTGACTCACAAGGTGCTGGCTGCAGTTGACTCACAAGGTGCTGGCTGCACAATGAGTGTGGAACGCTGCAAGGCATGAAGGTATGAAGCTGGAGGAGTGGTGTGGTGCGGTTGGCAGGAGAAAGAGCGGAGTGACGGCAGCAGGGGGGGGGGGGAGGGGGTGGGCGGCTGACCTGCACACGTATTTGGGCACGCGGGCCTTGATGATGACGTCAGCGTGCTCTGATACCTGTGCGCCTGCCTTGGTGACTGGATGCCCCTCCACCAGCACCTTGCCTGCACGGGGAGGGGAGAAGGGGGGAAGGGGGGAAGGGGGGAAGGGGGGAAGCGGGAGAAGGGAGCGTTGTAGGGTAGAGGCGAGGCAGAGAAACGGGAGCAAGGGAGAGGGCGGTGAGAGAATGGGACTGAGGGATGGGACTGTGGGATGGGACTGTGGGATGGGACTGTGGCAGGCGCCTCCAGTAACACACCTAGGCAGGCGCCTCCAGTAACACACCTAGGCAGGCGCCTCCAGTAACACACCTAGGCAGGCGCCTCCAGTAACACACCTAGGCAGGCGCCTCCAGTAACACACCTAGGCAGGCGCCTCCAGTAACACACCTAGGCAGGCGCCTCCAGTAACACACCTAGGCAGGCGCCTCCAGTAACACACCTAGGCAGGCGCCTCCAGTAACACACCTAGGCAGGCGCCTCCAGTAACACACCTAGGCAGGCGCCTCCAGTAACACACCTAGGCAGGCGCCTCCAGTAACACACCTAGGCAGGCGCCTCCAGTAACACACCTAGGCAGGCGCCTCCAGTAACACACCTAGGCAGGCTTGGGCTTGGGCTTGGGCTTGGGCTTGGGCTTGGGCTTGGGCTTGGGCTTGGGACTGTGGGAAGCGGGGAGAAACTACGGAGGAATGCACAACGAATGGACTTTTGCCCCCCAACTTGCAGGATCCAGGAGCGCACCTTGCAGGATCCACGAGCGCACTTGGCTGCGGCTGTACTGCGCCCATCGCGCCACACACAGCTCGTCCAGCCGCACCCGCTTCCCCCGCCTCCGCGCCCCGCCCTTCCCGCCTCCCGCTCCGCCGCCTTGGCTCCGCCCCACCTCCGCCTCCGCGCCTACATCCGCGCCAGCATCCCCACCTTGGCGCAATGCTGCTGCTTTCGCGACGATTGGCGCATCTCCCCTCGCCTCCCCTCGGCCCACCTCTTCTTCCCCCCTCTCCCCCTGTTTCCCTGCTTTGGCCCCCGTTGATTCCGCACCTCCGCTCACCGCCAACGCCCCTCCATCTGCCCCCGCCCGCGGATTCCCTACATTCCGACTCTGCCTGCCTTCCGCGGCATGCCCCTCTGCGAGAGCAGGGCGCGGAGGCGAGGAAGAGAAACTGCGGAGAGCTGCGCGTGGGAGGATCGCGAGGCGGAGATCAGGGGGAGGAATGGGGGAGCGCGGCGCAGACGAGAGCGATACGCGGAGCGGGAATGGAGGCCTCGCGGCGGTAACGGGCGGGAGATGAAGACAAGGCGGCATGGTTGATAGGAGGACGTATCCACGGGGATGGTGCCACGTGTGCTGCTGATGGTGGATGGGGAGGTTGACTGGGCGATGGCACGTGTGCCACGCAGAGTGGAGGCGGCAGAGGAGCGCCTTGCGAACGGCGAGAGAATGCGGGGGCGGTGCGAGAATTTGGAAGCGAACTAATAGCACCATGACACGTCACGAGGAAAGGAGGTAGCGATCCCGCTGTCGCTGTTGTGAGGGGATGTGATGGAATGCCAATTTGAAGGGTTGGTGGTTTCGTGCAGTTGCGCGCATTTGGTACCAAAAATGTTCACTGTAAAAAGATAACGAGTGAACAGCGGAAAATTTTGTAGCGAGTACAGACAAGAGACAAACTCAGATTCGAATTTCCTGAAGATTTTTTGCTTGCACAAATTCGCCCCTCGCAACCCAATCCCTAGATTCACCACCATCCTCCTTGCGCAGTTCCACATGCTCTGTTTCCCCAGCAAGCCGCCTTCGCCTCCTCCCGCACTCGCACCGCAGCTTCGCCCTCGCGCCTCCACAGCCTCCCATCGCGCCTCCTCCCTTCGAGAGATCGTCGCTCCTCCGTCGTCCACGGGTCACCGGCGACCAGTGCGACTCATGGCGACCGCAGCGCCGCCGTCGGTACCGGCGATCCGTCTGTCGAGCGGCTACGACATGCCGGTGGTGGGGATGGGCGTGTGGCGCGCCGACAAGGGCCGGCTCGGCGCGCTTATCAAGGACGCCGTGTCGCTCGGGTACCGCCACTTCGACTGCGCGGGTGCGTGCCTGGCGCGGTGCTGGGGGTGCCTTACCGCGCGAGGGTAGTGCGCTACAGCCGGTCTCAGCGCGCTACAGTCTGCCTCAGTGCGCTACAGTCTGCCTCAGCGCGCTACAGCCGGGCTCAGCGCGTTACAGTCCTTGTACTTCGCCTGATTCCCGACTTAAGCCGCCCCTTGCCCCTTACCACCCCTAATCTTCCCCTTAACCCCGCCTCCCCCTCGTTCCCCCCCCGCCAGCGGACTACGGCAACGAGGCGGAGGTGGGGGAGGCGCTATCCTCGGTGCTGGAGGCGGGCGAGGTAAAGCGAGAGGAGCTGTTCGTGACGAGCAAGCTGTGGAACAGCGACCACGCTCACGTGCGCGCGGCGTGCGAGCAGTCCTTAAAAGACCTCCGTCTTGACTACCTGGACCTCTATCTCGTGCACTTCCCCATCGCCACCAAACACACCGGTCCGTGCGCTGCTCCGCGCTATAGGGCCGCAGAGTGTGAGGGTGAAGAATGTGAGAGCGGGTGGGATGATGGCGAGTCTGGAGCCGATTGCGTCCTGCTGCAACCCAACCATGTCCTTTTTCTCTCTCTCGTGCATCTGTACATGGCATGGCGTGGCATGGCATGTGATGGCATGGCAGGCATAGGCAGCACGAGCAGTGCGATGGGCGAGGATGGCGTGTTGGACATAGACATCTCAGTGCCTCTGCACGACGTGTGGCGCCACATGGAGGCGCTGGTCAAGGATGGCCTCGTGCGCTCCATCGGCATCAGGTGCGCTCCATCGGCATCAGGTGCGCTCCATCGGCATCAGGTGCGCTCCATCGGCATCAGGTGCGCTCCATCGGCATCAGGTGCGCTCCATCGGCATCAGGTGCGCTCCATCGGCATCAGGTGCGCTCCATCGGCATCAGGTGCGCTCCATCGGCATCAGGTGCGCTCCATCGGCATCAGGTGGGCTCCATCGGCATCAGGTGCGCTCCATCGGCATCAGGTGCGCTCCATCGGCATCAGGTGCGCTCCATCGGCATCAGGTGCGCTCCATCGGCATCAGGTGCGCTCCATCGGCATCAGGTGCGCTCCATCGGCATCAGGTGCGCTCCATCGGCATCAGGTGCGCTCCATCGGCATCAGGTGCGCTCCATCGGCATCAGGTGCGCTCCATCGGCATCAGGTGCGCTCCATCGGCATCAGGTGCGCTCCATCGGCATCAGGTGCGCTCCATCGGCATCAGGTGCGCTCCATCGGCATCAGGTGCGCTCCATCGGCATCAGGTGCGCTCCATCGGCATCAGGTGCGCTCCATCGGCATCAGGTGCGCTCCATCGGCATCAGGTGCGCTCCATCGGCATCAGGTGCGCTCCATCGGCATCAGGTGCGCTCCATCGGCATCAGGTGCGCTCCATCGGCATCAGGTGCGCTCCATCGGCATCAGGTGCGCTCCATCGGCATCAGGTGCGCTCCATCGGCATCAGGTGCGCTCCATCGGCATCAGGTGCGCTCCATCGGCATCAGGTGCGCTCCATCGGCATCAGGTGCGCTCCATCGGCATCAGGTGCGCTCCATCGGCATCAGGTGCGCTCCATCGGCATCAGGTGCGCTCCATCGGCATCAGGTGCGCTCCATCGGCATCAGGTGCGCTCCATCGGCATCAGGTGCGCTCCATCGGCATCAGGTGCGCTCCATCGGCATCAGGTGCGCTCCATCGGCATCAGGTGCGCTCCATCGGCATCAGGTGCGCTCCATCGGCATCAGGTGCGCTCCATCGGCATCAGGTGCGCTCCATCGGCATCAGGTGCGCTCCATCGGCATCAGGTGCGCTCCATCGGCATCAGGTGCGCTCCATCGGCATCAGGTGCGCTCCATCGGCATCAGGTGCGCTCCATCGGCATCAGGTGCGCTCCATCGGCATCAGGTGCGCTCCATCGGCATCAGGTGCGCTCCATCGGCATCAGGTGCGCTCCATCGGCATCAGGTGCGCTCCATCGGCATCAGGTGCGCTCCATCGGCATCAGGTGCGCTCCATCGGCATCAGGTGCGCTCCATCGGCATCAGGTGCGCTCCATCGGCATCAGGTGCGCTCCATCGGCATCAGGTGCGCTCCATCGGCATCAGGTGCGCTCCATCGGCATCAGGTGCGCTCCATCGGCATCAGGTGCGCTCCATCGGCATCAGGTGCGCTCCATCGGCATCAGGTGCGCTCCATCGGCATCAGGTGCGCTCCATCGGCATCAGGTGCGCTCCATCGGCATCAGGTGCGCTCCATCGGCATCAGGTGCGCTCCATCGGCATCAGGTGCGCTCCATCGGCATCAGGTGCGCTCCATCGGCATCAGGTGCGCTCCATCGGCATCAGGTGCGCTCCATCGGCATCAGGTGCGCTCCATCGGCATCAGGTGCGCTCCATCGGCATCAGGTGCGCTCCATCGGCATCAGGTGCGCTCCATCGGCATCAGGTGCGCTCCATCGGCATCAGGTGCGCTCCATCGGCATCAGGTGCGCTCCATCGGCATCAGGTGCGCTCCATCGGCATCAGGTGCGCTCCATCGGCATCAGGTGCGCTCCATCGGCATCAGGTGCGCTCCATCGGCATCAGGTGCGCTCCATCGGCATCAGGTGCGCTCCATCGGCATCAGGTGCGCTCCATCGGCATCAGGTGCGCTCCATCGGCATCAGGTGCGCTCCATCGGCATCAGGTGCGCTCCATCGGCATCAGGTGCGCTCCATCGGCATCAGGTGCGCTCCATCGGCATCAGGTGCGCTCCATCGGCATCAGGTGCGCTCCATCGGCATCAGGTGCGCTCCATCGGCATCAGGTGCGCTCCATCGGCATCAGGTGCGCTCCATCGGCATCAGGTGCGCTCCATCGGCATCAGGTGCGCTCCATCGGCATCAGGTGCGCTCCATCGGCATCAGGTGCGCTCCATCGGCATCAGGTGCGCTCCATCGGCATCAGGTGCGCTCCATCGGCATCAGGTGCGCTCCATCGGCATCAGGTGCGCTCCATCGGCATCAGGTGCGCTCCATCGGCATCAGGTGCGCTCCATCGGCATCAGGTGCGCTCCATCGGCATCAGGTGCGCTCCATCGGCATCAGGTGCGCTCCATCGGCATCAGGTGCGCTCCATCGGCATCAGGTGCGCTCCATCGGCATCAGGTGCGCTCCATCGGCATCAGGTGCGCTCCATCGGCATCAGGTGCGCTCCATCGGCATCAGGTGCGCTCCATCGGCATCAGGTGGGCTCCATTGGCATCAGGTGGGCTCCATCGGCATCAGGTGGGCTCCATCGGCAACAGGTGGGCATGGGCATGGGTGTGCATGGATGTGCCACATGCGGTACTGCATGCCACCAACAGAAATTGAAGCCCTGCTGTTATACCATCTCTCCTCCTTTGTTTCTTCCTCTTCTTCCCTCCTGCCGCTTCTCGCCATTCAAACCTTCTCCCCCACTCCATCCCCTCCTCCTCCACTCTCGTCCCCTTTGCAATTATTCCCTCTGCAACCATTGTTGAACCCCCCCACAGCAACTACGACGTGTACCTGACGCGGGACTGTCTGGTGTACAGCAGCGCAGTGAGGCCGGCAGTGAACCAGGTGGAGACGCACCCCTTCTTCCAGCGCGCCTCGCTGCTGCGCTTCTGCGCCAAGCACGGCGTCACCCTCACCGCCCACACGCCTCTGGGTGGCGGCGCTGCCAACGAGGAGCTCTTCAAGTCCAAGTCGCCGCTCACAGACCCCGTTGTGCTCGTGCGCTCCCTTTCACCCATTCTTGCTCCATGCCTTTCCTGCCACAGCTTCGTTCTTTTCTCTTTGTGCTTCAACATCTCCATATGTGTTGCTGCGCCTACTGATGTGCGCTGCGCCTACTGATGTGCGCTGCGCCTACTGATGTGCGCTTATCTGTTTGCTCATTGCGATGTGTGATGTGGTTGCTCATTGCGATGTGATGTGGTTGCACGCTCAGGAGCTGGCTGCGAAGCACAGCAAGACAGCGGCGCAGGTGGTGCTGCGGTGGGGAGTGCAGCGCAACACGGTGGTCATTCCCAAGTCCAACCGTACCGACCGCCTGGCGGAGAACATTGCCATCTTCGACTTCGAGCTCGATGCTCACGACATGGCCCGGATGGAGGCGCTTGATGCTAAGGCTAGGAGCAACAACCCCGCTCCATTCTGGGGCATCGATTTGTATGCTTAGGAAGGAAGAATCAATACGTTCTGTGTGTTGAAGCTTTCCTAGCAGGGCTCTCGTTATCAGGGTAAAATACCCTTTTTGCACTGACTGGCGGCCGCTTTTTTTCAGTTACCCTTTCCCAGGCAGGGTAGTGGGATTTTTACCCTAGGCCATTAAGTGTAATATTTTTTTTACCCTTTGAAATACAGCGTGCCTCAAAATTTTCCCTGACTGTACAGGGTACGTTTCCAGTTACACTGATACGGATTTCTTGCAAGCGAGGATTTCAAACCTTAACAGAATGCGAAACGGACAACAAGACCAACACTCACAAAAAACAATATCACCCCCAGGTGGAGTCACGCGAATTTCGGGGCGTCGTGCCGCGAAAGTACCACATTGGTGGAACTGGCAGCCACCGTGCCAGCGCAACACGGAATCAAGGCCAGAGCAGCATTTGACAGCTGCCAGGCTTGTCTAGCAGCGCGCCGACAGGACAGCGGGGCATGCCATCGTCCTTTCGTGCTGAACAGGGCACCTCCTGGCAGCCACAACTGACCACCGTGAGCCATGCAATTACGCGCTCCGGGGTCATCACGGGTGTTGGAGGAGGGGGTCGTTATCCCAAGAACACCCCATCTTTCTCATCCTTCTCATACCCTCGGTGTGAGAACCACCTCCTGGGAGGTCTCTCACATGTGGTAGTCATGCCTGCCGAGCAAACTCCTCAATCTCCCGCGGTAGTGCGTAATGGCCTTTCTGTGCTGGGAGTTATTCCTCTCCCTGCTGAGACCTACAGCGTGCCCATCTCGCCGTTGCCACCACCCGCTTCTCCCGTGCGTAGTGTGGGTATTGTATACCCGTTCGAACCGCCGTCGACTCCTGCTGACTGGGAGCCGCACCCGTCAATTGTTCTCGTGCCAGGCGGTGGTGAAGGGTCGTCTAGACCCTCCGCGGGTTCACCGTCCACTGTGAACAGCACCCCGGGGAAACGCCCGCGTTTGGGAGCGAAGTACACGCAGCAGCGGCTATGGGGAGCCCCGCCACCCCGAAAAGAAGCTTCACCGCAACGTCCAGTAGCGACCCAAGACGAGGCGCCCGCTAAAACTACCGGTGACGTTCTCTACGAGACCATAAAGCATCGCTTTGAGTCAGAGTGGAAAGGTAAATTCAAGTGGTTGCGTCTTATTCGGATGCCTAACGGAGAAGCAAAACTCAAGTGTGACATCTGTGTGCAGCATGGCGACCCCGCAGCTCACACTAGCTACGGTGTGAGAGGTGAAGGTGGCCGCGACCTGCAGATAGGAAGCGTCCGGGCCCATTCCTCAACACGAGCCCACAAGAGCGCAGTCAAGAACCAAGAAGAAGCTGCAGCTGAGAAGGAGAAACAGGCGAAACTAAATCGGTGGCAGACAACTGACGCGTCTACGCGTCACATCATTCGCGTGCTTCATATTGCGCTTTTTATCTGCAGGGCGGATGCACCCGTCTCGATGTTCATCCCGCTCTGCTGGTTCTTGGCAAAGGAAGGCCTTCCAGACCTTCCGAACGGTGGCGGATATGGCGCCTACTACACTGAGTAAGCGCATGTTTTTTAACGGTAGCCACGGGTGATATTCACATATACTGATGTTGTTATCTGTTGTTATGTGCAGATATGGCTTCAGAGAGAATCTCCGGGCCATCTCCACGTACCTACAAGAACTGCAACGATCGCACTTGCTGGAGTCGCCTTGGATTGGCTTGTCACTGGACGAGAGCACAGACCGAATCCACGGCAAACATCTAATCGTTTACGCTACTTTTTTCCGTGGCACGGGTGTGGTCAACGAGTTCATAACGCTCATCACTGTTGACCGTGCTGATGCAGCCTCTCTGACCTCTGCTGTGGTGCAGTACCTGACAGGGATTGGCTTGGATCTCCAGAAGATCTCTGCCATTTCAACGGACGGCGCTAGTGTCATGACAGGCAAGAACAACGGGGTTGTCGCCCGTCTGCGCATGAGGATCCCGCACCTCGCCTCCACGCACTGTGTCGCTCATCGGTGAGTGTCTCTCCGTGCACTCGGTGGGAAAGCGATGCACCATTTTTAACTTCATTACCATAACTCGTACTTTGTTTACTTGGCAGGGAGGCTCTAGCCGCAAGCGATGCCGCGGATGCTGTGCCAGAACTTTACATGGTTGACGACGTCATCTGTGGCTTTGCAGATCTCATCTCGCGATCCAACGTCAAGTACGAAAAGTTTCATAACATTCAGCATGTTTTCTGCAAGACGAACCTGGAGGCACAAGGGATACACACCGTTCGCTGGCTGTCACGTGGTGAGGCCGTCCGACGCTTCCTCGAGATCCTGCCTGCAGCCATCGTGGTGCTCAAAGAGTACAACAATGACCTGTACGAGATTGCCACGTCGTTCAAGTTTCAGTGGTTGCTCCGGCTGCTTGCTGACGTGTTGTGGGAGCTGAACCATCTGAACCAACGGTTCCAGCAACGGCAGGTAAACGAATCTGAATTTCATAGACTACTTACGCCCAGAAAGGAGTGTCGCTAACCCTGTCTTCTGTGCTGTCTGAACAGATCGACGTCACGCTCGTGTCTCATCTCGTGGACCAGACACGAATGCGCATGAAGAACAGGTACTTAAACTTTTCGCTGGATCATCAATTCGGGAGTGGAGAGAAGATGACACTGAACGACTTCATTCAGCGCCATCAGAAGATGGACAAGCGGGAGGTGAAGGCAGAGGGCGTGGACAGTGACGGCAACCCCGTGAAATTCAGCTACACCCTGCACGAGAATCCCATCGAAGGGCAGGAGCCGGACGGAGATGTAACGGCTTGTGTCGAGCTGTCGCTGAAGTTTGTGCGTGCTGTCGACAAGGAGCTGGAGTGGCGGATGAAGGACCTGGAGGAGCTGGAGGGGTGTAAGCTATTTCGGTCAGCCTCATACGTACATGACGACGCCAAACGTGTGGAAAACTTCAAAAAATGGCTGGCTAAACTGCACAAGCTCTACAGGAAGAAGCTTCCAGGTATGCTCGTAGACCTCATGGTGTGTACCTGACTGTTGTTTTCCCGTTCCCTTCAGCGTTGTTTTCCCATCTGCTTCTGCTTTATTCTGTCATAACGATCGTCACACTCTCATATCTTCTCGTCTGGTCGCTTGTGTATCTCCTGGACTGTTTTTTTTAATCCTCCCCCTTCCACCCGATTGCTGCGAGTATAGCCCCGTTTAAACCCGTACCCGTACAACAGGATTCGACTACACCAGAGCACAGAGCGAGCTCTGGATGTTCACCTCAACAATGTACTCTCAACACAACAACGAGGACTTTCACCAGGCACTCGGGAACATGCTTCGTGACAACGACTGGCAGCACTCGTTCCCGAACTTGATGAAGATGTGGCAGGCAGTAGCCGTCCTACCGCTGAGCACGGTCGAGTGCGAGAGGGGGTTCAGAAAGCAGAATTTGATCAAGACGTGGGACCGTGGCAGCATTTCGGACATCACCATGGAGCATTTGATGCGCTGTTCCCTGCTGCAGTATGACGTGGACTGGTACGAGGTGGTGTCCATCTTCAGGGGAGAGAGGCTGCGGAGATCGACTAAGGACTTCAGTGGCACAAACCCGGGCGAGGCTATTTTCGCTGAAGCCGTTGTAGAGTCCTCTGACCCTGTTGGCGAATGAGTAGTAGCTGCATGTCAGATTTATATGACATAGCTACTGTAGGCTATAGTGGGGTAGCACATATGGGGTACAGTTTCCTAGGGTTTACTCCTTGTACCCAACTTTCACTTAGTCATTCTCATTCCTCGTTTCTTCTCATGGCATCGAGCAGGTTCCCTAGTGGGAACGATTCCTAGGGCCCACCACCACGAAATTTTTTTTTCCTGCCCGGAGCGCGTTTTGCGCCGGCCCGAGTCGCGCCGCCCTTTCGGCCCGTCGCGCCCGTCGCGCCCGTCGCGCCCGTCGCGCCCATCGCCACCTACCTCCGCGGCCCCGCCACCTACCTTCGCGGCCCCGCCACCTCACTGTGCGGCCCCGCCACCTACCTCCGCGGCCCCGCCACCTACCTCCGCGGCCCCGCCACCTACCTGTGCGGCCCCGCCACCTACCTGTGTGGCCCCGCCACCTACCTTCGCGGCCCCGCCACCTCACTGTGCGGCCCCGCCACCTACCTCCGCGGCCCCGCCACCTACCTGTGCGGCCCCGCCACCTACCTTCGCGGCCCCGCCACCTCACTGTGCGGCCCCGCCACCTACCTCCGCGGCCCCGCCACCTACCTGTGCGGCCCCGCCACCTACCTTCGCGGCCCCGCCACCTTACTGTGCGGCCCCGCCACCTACCTCCGCGGCCCCGCCACTTACCTTTGCGGCCCCGCCGCCTCCTCCCAGCGGCCCCGGACGCCGCCCTCTCAGCGGCCCCGCCGAGCCGCCCAGCAGCCAAGCCGCCCAGCCGCCGAGTCGCCCAGCAGCCGAGCCGCCCAGCAGCCGAGCCGCCCAGCAGCCGAGCCGCCGAGCCGCCCAGCCGCCGAGCCGCCCTGTCCGCAGCCGAGCCGCCCAGCAGCCGAGCCGCCCCGCCGCCGAGCCGCCCAGCCGCCGAGCCGCCGAGCTGCCGAGCCGCCCTGCAGCCGAGCCGCCCGAACCGCCCTGTCCGGTAAGAGCAGCGCCTCTCTCACAGCACTGCCCTCGCCCTACTGTTTGCACTGCTAGTCTACTGCTGTCATGGCTACCCCTAGTGTCCTCGCTTTTGACGCTGAGGGTCGGGCCATTGACTTTGACGTCTGGATAGATGACCTGCAGCTTTTCTTACAGTGCGACAGAGCAGACGGCCTCTCCCTCTTTGACCTCACTTCTGGTGCCTCTCCTGCCCCCGCTGCTGATGCTGACGCCACCGTTCGCTCACAGTGGGCCACGCGCGATGCTGCTGCACGTCTTGCTGTGCGTTGCCACCTCCCTACCTCTGAGCGTGCGCACTTTAGCCAGTACAAGAGTGCTCAGACCTTGTACGACGCTGTAG